TCTTCTTCACTCTAAATTTAACATCATATCTGGAAATGGAAAAGCCACAGTGAGGTTATTGATTCTTTTTTCCTTCTGTCCGAGTGTATAGGTTTACCTTACATCTTCCACCTTAGAAAGTAAATGGTTGGTTGTACACTTGCAGTTAAGCTGTTACATGTGTATTGCACAATTGATTTGTAGTAGGTTAACTATTCAGCATGAATTTTCCACTTTTTCCTTTATATATACACCCTCAACACAATCCCTTGTTTATCAATATAAAGACGTTTACAATTGTGTCCAAGCACTGTGTTCCAATCCACATCTAGGTTTAACAAAATTCAAGTGTATTTTGGCTTAGGCCGACAGCTAACATTAAGACTCCTCTTGCAATAATTTCCAGTCTTCAGATATGTGGTGGTTAAATTTAAGTAAGGACTCTATAAATCCTTGATTGAGAAAAGTCATTTTTATCACCTTAGTTTTCTATTAATACAGGTTATTAGAAAAAACAGATGTGTGATAGGGTCGCTGTAGATAGATTAACTTACTGTTGGTTACACAAATGCAGGAAGACAGAATAGAAGATTAATAGAAATAGTTGTCTATCAGAGGCAATATATCTCTTTTCACACTGCCATCCAAATATGCTGAAAATCTGTATTTTTGTAAGAAACTGGAAGAGTTTAAATTCTCCTTAATCTCTGTGGATTTAATGCACTAAGTGGCTTTTTAAAACATGGATATGGATACTTATTAGAGTATCTTTCTAACAAAAAAAAAGAACCCTTAGGGGTAAGGCAATGCTGTGGGAAAAGTCTACATTCCTTTTGCTTTGTAGAAACTATATGTGGGTATATAAGGTAGCCTTCAAATGCTTTGTTTACTATTTCTGGTGTCCCGGACTGTGTTTCCCACTGAGCTGTGCATATTATTACTTGCTGTTTCCCAACATTCATGCATATTAAAGCCTGAGGAAAGGCAAAAAATCATAGGAACTATGTAAGTGGGATCATTGTGGTGGACTTTTAAATCCATCACCCTGTTGAAAGCCTGTTGAAATGACAGAGACCACCAGCTACAAGATAATGCCCAGCTGGGCTTATGTATTATGCCAGGCCACAGATCTCTGCAAAAATTGTTAAACTTCTTGATCTCATCATTGTACAAGAGCCTTTGAGAATTCAGTGCTCCGTAAGCAGCCTTTGAGAAAATCATGGTATCTTCTGTATTATCTTGCATGATTTAACCTGCATGAAACCAACAACTGTGGTTTAAAAAATTCTGGCAGCTTTTATAGGCTACTGTAAAATACACTAGTTGCATAGTCTGCAAACAAGTTATTGTTAGGTACCTGTGTTTTATCAAGCCACCCTATGTAGGGTTTTCTGATGTTACTCATGAATTGCTTTAATGTGATCCACCTGTGTGGAACTCACTGCAGTAGCAGAAGTTGACTGGGAAAAGGAAAGGGAGGGAGAAAATGAACTGCCTGGGGTGCAGGTTTTTTTAGTCACTATGGCTGTGTGTTAACTCTTACATTCTTTTTCATTCTTAGAGGTGAACCAACTCCTACTTGAAAGTAACAAATAGTAATAAGTAGTAAGTGGTGAGGCAGAGGTTAAATGGCTATAGGTGATTAGAGCGCATTAGCATAATAGGAAGAGATCAGATCTCCTCTTTTTCACATCCAATTGATTAAGCTTGGGGATACATAGATATGTAACCGTAATGCCCTTATGCTGATGTCAGACAAAATTTTCTTTAGGTCCCAGATTTCCTTTCTGGTGACAGATGTGCCATATTTTTATCATCTGAAGTTTTGGCAGCAAAAATACCCTGCAGTGTTATGAAAGAGATTGTTTCAGCCAGAAGCATAGTGAATTGCTGTGTCTGACCTGGGAGCTGTACCAGTGCTTTCTTCTTTCTCTTCCTTCCCCCTGCTTTGGGCTATGAAGCCAGCTGTCAGTGAAAAGCACACTAATTTTGAACCCCAGAAGAGATTGTGTGATGAAAGGGGCTTTGGAGGAATGAATGAAGAGCAAGCTCTTACACTGGCTTTTTGTTGTGTGCAGCTTCCTTATTTGTGTCCTGTTTTATTTGTCTCCTTGCCCTTCATGTTCTTGGTTTAAGTTACAGATTTTGTTCCAGATGTGTGAAACTAGCCAGCACCTAGCTGTAGCCAGGGAATGTGAACTTTTATTATTGTTTCACTTTCTGAAGCTACCCTTTTGCAAAAAGTGCCTGGGTTTGGGTTTTTTGTTGTGTATGGATTCCCTTTACTACTTTCCTGGCAAAATAATCATCCAACTGTTTTCAAAAGGAAATAAATTCACACAGTATCTTTTCACCATAAATGGGAATCATGGAATTATTTGCTTAATCTTGAATGAGCAGAGTTTCTTCTTTTCCCAAGTACCCTCCAAAATCAAATTGATTGCTATGTTTCCAAACAAGAGCTGTAAAGGCTAAAATTGAAGAAGCGCTTAGATACCTTAAAATAAACTGTGAAAATGCACAGTGCAGCTGTCTGAAAGTAAATTTGTGAAATATTAAAGCCTTCACCAGAGGAACACTGAGTCATTACATGGTGCTATGCAATAAATAAACAACTAAAAACATTTGCAAGCTTCAGAAGAATTTGAAAATGGTTAACATTCAGTCATTGTAATTTAGCCTCTGAATGATTCTATCAGTCCCTTCTGAGAAAATGCAGTGATTTTAGAGTAAGACTAAATAAAACGAAGTAACATATCTAAAACTGGCTGTGTTGTCTTGTGTAATATATCTGTAAGAAACTGAAGTTGTCAGTAGGTCAGTTTATTTTTTTTCTAAGTCTAGAAGTCCACAATATAAAATTTTAAGTAAAGGAAGAAATATTATATGAAATAAGCCTCTACGGTTTCTTAATGAACAAATAGCATTTATGGATTAGAACCCAAGATTTTTACTTGTTGCTGCAAAGTCAGGAAACATCAGAAAATTTTTGTGATATTCTACTTAAGTCTCTTCATACAAGAAGTCAGCATAAACCTATGTAGTGCTTAAATTCAGGGTAAACTCTGTTTTGAAGATTTGTGTGATGGTGAGGTAGCTTCTGCCCCCACCCCTTCATTTTAATTTGACATTTTCACTCACAAATAATGAGTAATGATCAGTAACAAGTTTTTCTTCATTCTTTAATCCTGCAGGTCACTCTTCTGGGATAGGGGCCTGCACCCCCACTACATCTCCTCAATGTCACTCATATTAGTAGATCTCACCAGCACAGGATGTATCTGTCTGAGATAGCTTCAGAAACTGAGGCCTAACTTTCATGTAATCTTGTTGGGTTTATAATTCATACATGCAATTACTGTGAATTATATGCTTGCTTCCTTTTAATATTTATGCAGCTCTGTGCAAAAAGCTGGTTTTATTCCAGCATATGAAACTTATTTCTTCAGCACATATTTCAGAGGAGTTAGCATTGCTGAAAAATCCCTTTAGGAAAATTATTTTGCTCTATTTCCTCTGTAGCTGCTCACCCATTTCTTTTTAATAAGCTGAGGCTGTTATACCGTGTTGTCTTCCTTGATTACAGAAATCCATTTATTTAGACTACGTGGAACAGGCACGCCAGTTTAATAAAGCAAAAAGTCAGTTGCAAGGGATGTAGAGTACTTAATGCTGTTTGTACCAGGGCTCTGCTGGAGGCAGCTCAGTCTGTTCTGGGAGAACTGCTGTTAGAACAGCTACTAGTGAATTTGTTTCCTGGTCATCATTAACTCTCTCATTGGAGCTGTTTCAGTTTATTTTTCTGTTATCTGGCCTCTCTGAAGGCTTGTACTTCTCCAGTCATACCCCAAATCTGTTCCTCTGTTGGTCTAAAACCACAGTTCTGCTTTTATTTTCCTTTCCCTTCTCCCCTTTTATTGCATTTTGTTTTGCAATTATATGAATTGCAATTATATGAATTATTTCAATTATTATATAAATTGCAATTGTTTTGCAATTATAGGAATTATTTCAATAAAAGGGATCAGAAAAAATGTATTATTTGTCTTTTCCTTTATTTTTTTCCTATGCTTCCTTCCTGTCTTGTTTGTTTTTTTTTTCCTTTTCTTCTTTTCTTCTTCTTTTCCTCCTTTTTGACATTATATAGATTTCTGCTTTCTTTCCTGAGTCCGTTTCAATTTGAGGAACAAAGGGATTTTCTGCAAGGCATTAGAGTAGAGAAGGAGCATGTACTGATATTGCTTAGTACAGTGGCTGTTTGAAGCTCTATCGTTGAGTATTTTCTATGCAGTATTAGTTGCTTAGGAACAGGTGCTATAGGAAGCCCTGAGACTGATCAGTGTGGCCTGATGGTAAATCAGGCATTTCAGAGTATTAAGTCCGTAACATCAAACTGAATCGGTCTCAGTCAGGTCCCATATTTCCATTCTCACATTCATCAATATCTTGCTGCTCAGTGCCAAGAAAAGACCTACGATATAAGCCAGCAAGACAAGATTTTGGCTAGAAAAAAACTTTGCTAGAGAAGAGGGAAAACTTCCTCTCCATGCAGCTTCCAAATTTACATTGAGCTCAAATAACCCTGGGACAAGCTTAGCTTCTTGCATCCCAGAGGTTCAGTAGATCTGCTTAGTGAGATGCTTACAGTTTTTCTAATCACTGTCCTTTTATGAATGGTGTTTTTGTTCCAGCCTGGCACTTTGTGTTGATGTAATACTATTTTGGATGATCTTGGTATATCTTTGAAATTTTTGAAGGTGGGAATAAGTAAAATGAAGCTATTTTCATGTATGGACAGAAAGTTGGGTGGCATTTTAAAGGCAAGACGTAAGAGGTCTGAACTCAAGCTAAGCAAAACAAGAAGTGTATCCAAGTGACTGATAAATATTTATGACTTCTTACATTTGGTCATGATCACCACTTTGTCTTCAGAAGTGTCTTTGCTTAGGCTTTTAGAGCAGAAATATCTTTCCTGCTCTACTGTACTGTTTAGGTCACAGATCAATGATGTTGCTTCATAGCTTCTGAGTCCAAGATGGAGGAGACCACTGCTGATACTGGAAGTTACATACCTATTACAGATAGACTTGCTTTTTAAAGGTAATCAGTTTAACTCCAGCGCTCATAATTTGATTGTAGAGCCTCAAAACAATGAAAAATAAAAAATAAAAAAGGCTCCAAACCAACAGTTTGTTTTGTGATACATGTTGATATCCTCAGGTTTCGATCTTTCCCATCATCAATCAGTGATACAAGAGAGGAGTATGATGAACTCAAATCCATTTGATATTGAGCATCTAATAATCTAAATGGTTTGTAGTTCCATATGGTGGCAAATCTTATATTATTGTGAGTTTACATTTTTAATTAATCAATCATGAGAATAGCAATTTATAAGACATCTTAAAGATTTTTATGTGAATTTAGAAGTTATTAAAGGCATTGAATTGTTGGTAACAAGTTGTTGGGGATTTTTTTGCACCTAAGCATGTGTACTTGGGGAAAATTAGTGTAAATTTCTGTGTGATACTCTAAGATATCTCTTAACCATGATATAAGAGGATCCCTGGAGGAAGAATAGTTCCATTCCCATTTCTTGCATTTCTGCTTGGACTACTGGCAATGCAAACCAGCTATATTGGGTGGTTTCAGTGATTTTTGCCTTCTGAGAGCTGAAACAAACCCACTGACTCAAAATTGGTTTGAAGCTTAGGTCAGTTAAATTTTGTCATGGGAATTCCTGTACAAGACCCCTTTTGTTCTCTTCTTGACTTCACAGAAAAGAAGAGCAGCAAGAATACAGAAAGTTCACAGGCTGTCAAGTTAAACAAGAATTTTGCACCCATCTTCCATAAAGGCCTGACTGACCTCAAAGTAATGGATGGAAGTCAAGTGATAATGACTGTAGAGGTATCAGGTGCGTAGCTACAGAACAGTATTATTTAAAAATTTTAAGTCCTGTCGCAAAGTATTTGTTTTTTCCCACTGTCTTTTTCTTTTAGCAGGTGCCCTAGCATTTTGAAATAATACTTCCAGGAACCAGTATTTTGAAACTAAAAGCTAGGTTTGTCTAATGTGATCTTCAGAGTGGATGAACATTGTCCAGTGTTAATGTGTTCAGACCAGTACAGGTGTTTCTTTGTCATAACAACAACAAAAAATAATGCTATTATTGGGTCCTGCTATTGAACTGAAACTCTCAGTGGATTCGTAAGAGCTTTTGTTGTGAACCAAACAAGACTGAATTCATGTCAGCAAGGATAAGATACTTTATGAAGATCAACAAGGACAAGTTTAAGGTCTTGCACCTAAGCAAGCACAATCCAAGTGTGTATCACAGGCTGGGATCTACTTGGCTGGGAAGCAGCTCTCTGGAAAGGGACCTGAGTGTCCTGGTGGAGAGCAAACTTAATGTGAGTAAACAGTGTGCAGCTGTGTCAAAGAAAGCCATGAGGATGGTGGGTTACATGAGCAAGGGCATCACTAGCAGAAATCAAGATGTCACTGTCCCACTCACTGCTTGTCAGACCAAGCCTGGAACTAAACAGTATTCAGTTTTAGTCCCTCTTGTCAAAAGAAGAGATGTGAACAGGCTGGAGAGGATGCAGAGAAGAGCCACAAAAATGACCAAAGTACTGGAAAGCCTGCTGAATGAGGACAGGCTGTTGTGGTTTAAACCCAGTCAGGTAACTTGTTCACTCACTCCCAGGGAGTGGTGCCAGGCTGACAACAATCGAGGCCGCCCCCGCCCTGGGACTCTCCCCTTCCCCGCTCCTGGAGGAACGGGGAGGAGGATCAAAAGGGTGCAACTCCTACGGGTTGAGACAAGAAGAGTCCAGCAACCAATGTACAACACAAATCACCACCGCTACTATCAACTACAACAATGATAAGGGAAAATAACAAGGGAAGAGAATACGATACCACCGGCCAAGAAAACGAGTTCCACCCAGAAGCCCGTGTCCTTCCGGGTAACTCCCAGTCACCCCCCACCCTGGCCATGACGTGCTGTGGTATGGAATACCTCTTTGGTCAGTTTGGGTCAGGTGTCCTGTCTCTGCTTCCTCCCGGCTTCCCCTCTTCCCTGGCAGAGCATGAGGCTCACAAAGTCCTTGGCCAAACCAAAGCATCCTTGTTATCAGCTCTGTTCCCAGGCCGAAAGTCAAAACACTGCACTGCACCAGCTACCAAGGAGGAGAAAAAAGACTGCTACTGCTGAACCCAGGACACAGGCTGAGAGAGGTGGGCATGTTCAGCCTAGAAAAAAGATGGCTCAGGGGAGAGCTTATCCCCACATTGCAGTATTTAAAGGGTGGCTACAAGGAAGATGGAAACTCCCTTTTTGCAAGGAGACGCATGGAAAAGATGGGGGGTAATGTGCACAAATTAATCCAGAGGAGATTCTGACTGCTCACAAGAAGGACATTTTTCACAAAGAGAACAGTGATCCATTGCAATAATCTCCCCAGCAGAGTGGTAGATTCCCCAACACTGAACACTTTTAAGATTTGGCTGGGCAGGGTGCTGGGGCATCTAAGTCTAGGTCATGCTTTCCTTAGAAAGGTTGGACCAGATGATCCTTGAATCACCTCCAACCTGTTATTCTGTGACTCTATAAGATTAGTGATGCAGGAAAGAGCAGTCCTGGTATGAATGTTGTTAATAGAAACCCTTGGTAATCACATTTATGGGATCTAGAACTCATTCTCCCTTTCTGTTGTAAAAATGCTTCCCTTACTCATGCGTATTTTAGCTGTAATAAGACAGACTTATAACTATTCCACATTACACATCATCAGCAGTTAATGAAATTCCTGAATATTTTGAATGGAATTGCAAAATCAATGGCAGAAAGCAGCCAAACTTGTTCATTTGGTAAATCAATATATGGTGGTGTTTTGTGAGTGTCTGATTTTCATTGTTTCTTTTTTTTTCAGCTAATCCCCCTCCTGAAATCATCTGGCTGCACAATGGGAAAGAAATCCAAGAGACAGAAGATTTCCACTTTGAGAAGAAAGGCAATGAGTACAGTCTGTACATCCAGGAAGTATTTCCTGAAGACACTGGCAAATACACCTGTGAAGCCTGGAATGAATTAGGAGAAACTCAGACACAGGCTACATTAACAGTACAAGGTATAAAGTTCTTCTCCACCTTAGGAAATGCTAAAGGAAAATTATTCAAATGTGCAGAAGATGTATCTACTTAAGTACATGAGTGTTTATAAGGTCTGTTGTGAAGGATGCTAGGAGTACTCATTCTCTGCACCTGAATTAAAAAGGATATTGAGCAAAAGCAACTTTAAAAAAAATGGTTTTACTGTGGAACATTCTGTTACTATTTCAAAAATGCATTCGTGAATCCAGTTCTGAGGGACAGTGCAAAACTTCTGCTAAATGCAGCTTCAGATTATAACTATAAAGCTTGCTTAGTTGTGGATTTAATATAAACAATTTAATTATGTTCTTCTTTCTAATTAAAGCCCCGAGGTTTTGGAAAAGCTGTCTAGGAGCCAGGTATTCTTGCTTCAATATTAGCATTGTAGTGGTAGCAAGTGAGGAAGACATGATTTCTGCAATTTGAGAACTGTCTGCAAAAAAACCTGGTTTTGAATCTCCACATATAATGTAAATCCCGCCATAAACACTGAATTGCCTACAAGCTTCCAGCTATTGGGCATTCACTACATACGTAACAGGGGACTTCATCTAATCTTACTGTATGCCAACATTTTCCCATCACCATTACTGAGGATTCTCATAAATCAGTGGGAGACTTGTAGTATTTTTCATGTTAAGGATCTTAACCCCAGGATTTCAGAGAACTGTGCCTTGGGGGGTGGGTCTGTAGTCTGTTGTCACTGTCTGTTCCCCCGAAATCTAGTCTCAGTGTCAATCTTCTATATTAAATGCAATTGTATAAATTGTTAATGATGGTTTATTACATGAGTTCTCAGCTGTCGTAGTACCATCACTTGTCCTTAAGGCTATTCATGTGAATATTCTCTGTATTCTATATAAGGACAAATCTTCAAGATTCCTTTTAGGGGAGCTTTAAAGTCCCTTTGTTTTTCTCTTAATATAAGCCTGGCTAGAGCCAGTAAACTGCCAAATAAATGATTAATTTTAGTACCAACACAAGTTACTCCCAAAATTAAAGCCTGACTTATTTTCAATTATAAACTTATACCCTGCATGTTCAAAATAACTTTGCTTGTCTGTGATTGTTTTCCCTGAAATTAGTTAGCTTACCAGTTACATTCAAGCTTGCCTTTTCTCCTGATTTGCAAACTGTGTTTGTAAACTACAGAACCTCAGGATGGTATTCAGCCCTGGTTCATTAGCAAACCACGATCAGTGACAGCAGCTCCTGGGCAAAATGTCCTTATATCCTGTGCCATTGCTGGAGATCCTTTTCCCACTGTTCACTGGTTTAAAGATGGACAAGAAATAATGCCGGGAACAGCATGTGAAATCCTGCAAAATGAAGACATCTTCACACTGGTTTTGAGGAATGTGCAGTCTCGCCATACAGGGCAATATGAAATTCAGCTCAGGTATGTTTGCTATGAAAACAGCTTGTTCCCCTGGAACAATTAGTTATATTTACCCTCAAGTTGAAATTCCCACCTGAAGAAGACGAGTTCCATCCCATTCCCATAAATCAGTAGAGTATTAAAGGAGCAAAATATTTCTGAGGGATATAAAGAACCAATAAAGAGGAGAGAAGAAACACAAGAAAAGTCAGAAAGAAGGACAAAGCAGTACAGAGTTTCCTTTTGGGAACCTGAGAAACAAAGTCTTGTGGCAGCAATATGGGAAAAAAAAGGGGGGGGGGGGGGAGATTCCAAGCAAGGGAAACCACAATCAGTGTCATTTATGATTTTGGAGCTATTTTTTATCGAGTTTGACATCTCTCCAGATATTTTAAAGGATCCATGCTTTCCATGGGAACAATCTGACCAGGAAGGGCTGTTCCACAAGATTATAATCCATACCACTGAGGAAAGAAAGGACTTCCTGGTCGTGTTTGAATTTTATGTGGAAGTTGTAGTTGTCTTTTTCTGATGAAATGAGGTACGCTTATGCTTTAAACCTGTTGTCATTCCTGCAGAATTTGGAAGAGGTATTTTGAATTTTATTTAATTTATTTTGTCTATTTATTTTGTGGTAAAATAACTGTTCTTTAAATGATTGTCATGGTTTAAGTCCAGCCTGGTAACTCAGAACAACGCAGCCACTTGCTCACTCCCCATTTCCCCCACCCCCACTTCTGGAGGGATGGGGAGGAGAATCAAAAGAGTGCAACTCCCACGGGTTGAGATAAGAACAGCCCAGTAACTAAGGTATAACACAAACCACTACTGCTACCACCAATAATAATAATGATAAGGGAAATAACAAGGGGAGACAACATAAAACTAAAAGAGGAAAAAAAAAACATGAACACAAGTGATGCACAATACAACCGCTCACCACCCACCAACTGACACCCAGCCTGACCCAAGCAGTGATCTGGGACTTCCAGGTAACTGCCCCCAGTTTATATACTTGGCATGGTGTGCTATGGTATGGAATACCCCTTTGGCTAGTTTGGGTCAGGTGTCCTGTCTCTGCTTCCTCACAGCTTCTTGTGCCCTTCCTCACTAGCAGAGTGTAAGACTGAAAAAGTCCTTGATCCGGAATAAGCATTACTTAACAAAACCTAAAAGCATTGGTGTTTTATCCGTATTGTTCTCAGACTAAAGTGGAAAACACAGCACTGCACCAGCTGCTAAGAAGGAGAAAAAGAACTGTTACAGCTGAGTCCAGGACACTGAGGAATCAGATTTGCTGGTTCTTTACCTTGTAGAAAGTACCACAACATTCTCCACCTCCAGCCTTAATTACATATTCCCTCTGTGGTTATAGAAAACTTAGTGTACAGCTTTAAATCGATGTTATCATTTGTTCTATGCTATTTACTGTGCGTGTAAATGTACATGTAGATTTATTGCCTTACTTGGCTAATATTTGTGACTTTCTTAGAATTTATTTAACCATCATGGGCATTTGAATCCGTTACACTGGAAGAAAATTATCTGTTCTGCTCCACATGCTAGTTTTTTTAGTCCAGATGGACTAGTCTGGCAGGCAATTTAGACAGATAATGCCAAGTAGTGTTAGCACTGCAGTTCTGCACTGCTTGCACTTGCCTGGTTTATGGTGGGTTTTGTCTTTTTCATGCTATAAACAAGTTAGTTTAATTTCATATACTTCAGTCTAGGACAAAAATTAGAACTGAATTCTCCTTTGCTTGACTGCAAACAAATTACTCATGTCTTCCTAATCCAAGGAAGGAGGGCATATTTTAGTAAATTTTACCCATTTAACCTCTAAACAGTAAGTTTATTTTTATAGTTACACTTTATTTTCCAGTCAGCATTGCCTGAATGATGGACATGTCACTATGTAGTTGCCTAGCTCTAAAGTATGTTTCCATAGACTACCACAGGCAGCCAGAAACTATCATCAGTGTATTTTAGTATTTAAAATCAGACGAGGCATTCACTTTTCACTAGAAAAGGGTGCTTCAGGAAAATGTAACTGCTTATAGCAAGGTTTCCTATAATGAAGTTTTTCTGCACTGAATTTCAGGTCTTATTACTAACATCTATGTAAGTAGAGCTATATGTACCATAACCTTTTTGCAAATAAGCTCCTCAGTAGCTTTAGACCCTTTGTGCTCTGCAATAAATTAGAATCATAGACTCATAGAATAGTTAGGGTTGGAAAGGACCTTAAGATCATCTAGTTCCAACCCCCCTGCCGTGGGCAGGGACACCTCACACTAAATCATGTTACCCAAGGCCTCGTCCAACCTGGCCTTGAACACTGCCAGGGATGGAGCATTCACAGCCTCCCTGGGCAACCTATTCCAGTGCCTCACCACCCTTAGAGGAAAAAATTTCCAGCACCTTGTTGTTTTTCATGTGCCTTAGCATGCCTTCCAGGAGAACCTGCTCCAAGATTTTGCCAGGCACAGAGGTGAGACTGACTGCTCTGTAACTCCCCGGGTCATCCATTTTCCCCTTCTTGAAAATGGGGGTTATATTTCCCTTTTTCCAGTCATCGGGAACTTCATCTGACTGCCATGATTTCTCAAATATGATGGCCAGTGTCTTCTCAACTTCATTTGCCAGCTCCTTCAGGACCCTCAGATGGATCTCATCAGGACCCATGGACTTGTGCACGTTCAGATTTTTAAGATGGTCTCGAACCAGTTCCTCTCCTACAGTGGTCCAAGGTCTTCATTCTCACAGTCCCTGCATCTGCCTTCCAAGACTTGGGTGGTTTGGTCAGAGCCTTTGGCAGTGAAGACCGAAGCAAAGAAGTCATTCAGAACCTCATGAAATTGTGAAATGACTTCTTTCAGAACAATTGGCTTGTTTGCAATCGCCTAGGTCATCTACAACATTCATAATGCTGATCTGTGCTAGTCATGTCTACATGTCCTTGCATCTAAGAAAAGCATTTTTGGGGATCAGTGGCATGTCTGACACTCGACTTCTGGCAGGATTAGAAACACCAGTTCAATTTCATTAAGGTCCCTAACCTCTACATAACAGAGGAGGCCAAACTGGGAGAATTCCTACCTTTTGATAGCATGTTTCCACACTTCGGTTTGTGTGCCTGGACATCCTGATGGTGTCACTTGAACTGAAAGAGAATGAGATATTTCAGCAAAACTTCAGGGGTAGAAGTAGGAAAGAGGAAGAACAAAGGAGAGCCAAGAAGGTTTTGTGGAAGACTTTGTTGGAGGACTTCATTGTGGCTGACTTAAGCAAGTCAACCTTAATGATCAGGTGTAGCTGGTGATTACCCAGGCCAAATTCATCATTGAAGACATTTGTCAGTGTCTGACAGTATCATGACTCTAGAACATACAGAATGTACACTTGGAAAATAAATCATTTCAGAAAATTAGCAGAGAACAATCTGGCGGGGGGGGGGGAGGTGGTAAGAAGAAGTAAAGTTGTAGCTAGAGAGCAGCATGCTTGTTTCAGTTATTCCCTAATCCTTTTACTGGAGAAACAGCCGGGGATCATGTTGGCTTTTTTCTAATCCATAATAAGTAAAGATATTGTGCTGCGCTCTGAGCAAGGAGAATACTGATTCCTCTTTTTACCCTGCTGTCATTTGTAAAATTACAGGTACTTTTTGGGGAAAAGAAAGCCATATGCCATATGCCATATACATTGTTTGTATACTATTGTATGACAGAGAAGTAACTGCCTCAGGAATACCCAAGGAATCAAATGTCAGCTGTATAACTTCAAGCTTGCAATAGAGCTTAGATAATTTTCAGCAGCAACTAGTCTTGTCTAAATAGGTGTTGAACTGCCTGTAGTTGTCTTGAATACTTGATATAAAATTGTTTATATATTTAGAAACAAATTTAACAGTACCTTAGAGGAAGAGAGCTGTGTTTAGTGTCTTTCTGTCAAAAACTCCTACAAAGTCCATTTAAAATAAGGAATAACTGAAAAACCACGAGTCAATTCACTGAAGAGTTTATAGAAAAGTTGACAGTGGGCTATTTTTAAACATTATCATTTTATTTTGAAATAAATGTGCAACTCCTTTTCATGTGTTAATTTTAGAAGCATGCTGCATAGCTGCCTTTAGGGAGTCATTCTTTCTCCAACTCCTTTAATTTAGTTTGGCCATGGTTTCCTACCAGTGTTAAATACTTTCCAATTTTCTTCTGCATTATTCTTGAGCTCTAAATTCTATTCTACTGCCACCACAATTTTCCTTTGTGTTGGCTGCTCACAATTTAAAACTCTGATCTTAAAAAATTGGGTTTAACAAAAGATCTACTTGTCTCTTGTTAGTTCTGTCTCCTTTCATCAGAGTAAGCTGACAACTCTGTGTAGCCTAGGGTGATCCTAGTGTGATCCATCAATGGCTGCTGGTTGGCTTTCTGTCTTACCATCCCTCAGCATTATTTAGAATATGTGTTTGCTTTGCCTTTTACTACATAGCAGAATACTAAGAGTGAATTATACAAAGATGATCACTGTAGACTTCTCTGGTCTTTGTTTCAGACACAGAACTCTGATTCTCCACATTTGCATTCTTCATTTTAATTATCTTGATAATGCTTCATTGAGGCTGTTATTGCTCAGGCCTCAAGGAATGGTGCTGCATAAATATAAAAAGAACAACAGATTCACCCATTACTGTAGTTCATCTATTGAAATTTGAACAATTTGCAGCCTGCAAAATTCCAGCCCATGCAGTTGAGGGGTAACAAATCAGTCAGAATCTCCATGAAACAATCATCTGTTTTGCTAACCTTTGTCTTCTCAGATGCTGAGTATTTCTCTTCCCCCCCACTCCATCTTCCATAAAAGTCTAGTTAGTGTTAATTATTCTTATTTAAAGACTTTTATAATCTGATCAAAATCTGAGGTAAACATTTATCTTATAAATCAGTGGTACCTTGAATACTCTGTAATTCAGGTTATATAAAAAGCAGTTGTAAGTTTACATTGCATTACACTGAAAAGTAAATATGGTTCCATCTTTCTGTAAAATACAGTTTGCAAACCTTGTTTTCTGCTATGAACACATTGTCTATTTGTAGGAAAGATAACCATGACTCCTTCCTGTTTCATTCTCCCACTTAGTGCTGTAAAATGAAAATGTTTGGCTTTTCAGGTATAAAAACTTTTTGGCCAAACCCTTAAGTGAGGTAAATCAGTGCATCCTTTTTGAAGTCAGTGGGGCTGCTCTGCTTTGTGTCAGCTAAAGCTGTGATCCAGCAGATTAGTTGCATCCTTTGGGGTTAAAGCTTCATGGACTCTACGTTCTCTTAACTAACACACAAAAGAGTTGCAAAACCTCGTTCTGAGTCTTTCCAGTTACGTGCACTGAAGCACCAACTATAGCTAAGGATCAACTGCTTTGCCCCTTTCAGTTCATTCTTAAAAAAAAATGTAATTTACTCTGCAATACCTGTTTCACACTTTGTAGGCCAGTAGGAGTTTTTCGTATGCCCCACACTATAATTAACAGCGCTTTTTTATCTCTTCCTCCAGAGGGTGCTTCCTAGGGACATAAAGACAATAAGTCTCATCTAAGGTTCAGTGAAAGTATTTGAGGAGATTCTGCCAAGAAACTAGTATTTCAAGATATTTTGAACATAAAAGCCATTCCAGGGAAAACTGATCCCACAATAGGACAGAGAGCTATTTTTAAAATTGCTTCAGGCTTTGCAGCTGGGGTTTTATTTGGTTTTAGTATCTGTGGGGGTATTATTATTCCTTAACATTTTAAAGATAAGTCCGGTGTATGGGCATTCTACAGAACAATCCTGCAAAAGTCAACAATTCCAGACACTACTTTACAGCACAGCTACTAAGCGTAGGTGTTATCCATTTCTATCATTATTCTACAATAACAGAGCCACTAAGACCTGTCTTTGTCTGTGGTTTTGTTGATAAAATGCCAACATGGAGAACCTCAAGTTTCAAAAGTAATATTTTTATTGCTAAGATTCAAAACAGCAGAGATATGAAAGACTTGAAGTGGTGCTTGGGTATTACAAAGCTCTGTTTTTCCTAACTGCTCTTATGTATCTTGTCTAGGTTCTGAAGTTGCGCAAATGTAAAAATATTTACAAAGTTCCCAGTATTAATCTTGATTGAATTTAGCATCTAAACCATCCAGTCCTTCTTAATTTTTCTTGGCTTGTTTCTCTTTTTCCATCTAGTGAACTCCAAGGTGGGTCAGTGCTATTAACTTTACCTTTTTAGTCTCTGCAACTGCATCCGGAGACAAAATTATGCTCTCCCTGCTCCTCAAATCAGTAACTTGCCTTGATTTCACTGCGAGCAGGACTTGCCCTGAGAAGGCTATGCTTTTGAACAGGGATATAATGAATTAGACACAGACTCAAGGTTTGTATCCAGTGTTCACTTGAAGCAAAAATCATAATTAAGATCAAAAAACTAACTTCTGAATCATTTTTCCATTTAGGTACTTCTATGTCCCACTGTTGCCATAATTTGTAAGTGCTTCCCAAGGTTTTAAAAATAGAAAGAACAAAATGCTCTCCTGTTTTCTTACCCCTCCTTTACTTTCCAAACCCTGTGAAAAATAGCTTAGTTTAGGGAGGTTTACTTTGCTTTCCTTATTTGCTCTTTGCATATGTGAAGAATTTGCAGAGGGAAAGATACGTTGCAGAAATGGGTCCTGAAGAAATGCTATTATTCTTCACAGTGGTCAGGACCACATTCAGTACCCCTAGATCCCTCTCCTGGGAGAGTGCTGTCTCTGTTACTTTAACCTCTCCCACTGGTGACACAGTTCTTGTCGGCAAATATTTTTGCCATATGGTCATGACAGATGCTGAGCAGTGGTGCCTTCTAATTTGACGTGTGCTCTAAACTGTCTATACTTTAACATGCCTGGCTTCTACTTTGTCAGCTCCGGATTGGTTTTAAGATCTTCTGGTAAACCAGGAGCCTGCTGATAGCGCTGTAGCGCTGGTGAATGAGAAAGTGCTTGATCTGTTTGATAGTGAGTCTGATTGTGGCTTTCAGTGCTTGGATTTCACTGCTTGGATTTCACTGCTTGGATTGCTTTCAGTGGCAGTTTCTAGTGTACATATTCAGATTTGTTGGATATAGTGTGTTGAGCACATTTCTCTGGCTTTTTGTTAATCATCTTAAGGTCAAATAAGAGGTCTTCTACCAGCAGGGCCTTTACTTTGCAATTCAGTTACTTCGGTTAACCCCACCAATTCCTTCTTGGCATGAAAGGCTTGATTTTTGTACATTTTCTAAGGCAAAAGAAAGAAATGGAAATTTATATGAAAAGGTAATGGCACTAGTTTCTTTTATAAAGACATAACTTAGGGATGTATCTGCGTTAATGATCGTGCCTGCTGTGACTTCATTGCCAGTTGCAAATGGGTAAAATTATAGTTTATTCACCCAAACAAGATCGTATCTAGGAATGTATTTCCAAACACTAAAAAAAAGGCCAGAAAATATGTTTATGGCAATCTAACAGAAAGGAACTCCTGAGTCTGTTTTAAATTTCAGGAAAAGGGGTACTTGAAGGTGCTCTTACCTAGCAAGTCTTTTGAAAGCAAAACACAGCTAGAAAAACCAGCCTCTCTTTTCTTCCTCCCTGCAATGCACATGTGTTTTGTTCATGTCCAGGAAATGTTTTCAGTAGCAAAAACTATTTTTGTTTGAAAAACAAAAATCATCCAGGAGTTTCTAGTCCATTTACAAGTTTATACTTAAACTGGGAAGGATGAAAGTTTTCACTAATAAAAGATATCTCTAGTCCCTATCAGTTCAAGTCTGTTTTTTTTTAACAGCAGTCAAGCGAGCGGTCGCAAGAGTTACACAACTGCTGCCCTGGGGGAGTTAAATTTTGCTTTTGGCATCTCCTGTGTTAAGTGGAGAAAAGACATTTGGGGCTAGAAGAATGATATATATCTGCAGGAGGGAGGGAGTGGCAGGGGTGAGGGGAACACTTTAAATGAATTCTTTAATGGGAGCCCTTTCCAGAAGGCATCCATGGTATTCCTCTGCAAAAGGAAGAATAAGTACTCAGCACCATATATGGTGACACTTTTATGTTTTTTAATATAAACATGTACAGGCTGGAGCAATCCATGAGATGGGTTTTGCTGATTGGCTGGGCCAGGGGGGAGGGAAGGAAATGAGACCCTGCTTTTAATATCTTAACATTAGAAAACTTATGAGCTTGGGTTTGAATAAATAAACAGTAGGCAGAGCTGGAAAGATATTCAACTTCGCAAAATAGCCCCTTCCTCTGCCTTGATTTTCCAGCTTTGTTATTTGTTTTCCTTTAGTTTGTTTGTTTGCAGCTGTTTCATTCTGTAAATTGCTTTGATTTTTGTTCAGGGAGTATATTCATCCTAGTGTAGATAGCAACAGAACAGTAAAAGCTAATTGAGATAGCTTGGCACCAAACATAAGAGAACCAATCCGTTCAGTCAACCACCACAATGCTGGGCATAGGAAAGGAAGATGCCACACTGGGTTTGAACTTCTTTAGTGCAAAACACAAACACTTAGCTCAGGAAAGTTACAATTTTGGAGGGAGACACCTCTGCTTTTCTGATTTTACTTAAATGTTTCAGGAACCAAGTTGGAGAATGCAGCTGCCAGGTGTCTCTGATGCTGCGGGAGACTTCAGCTTCCGCAGCAGAAATGCTCAGAGAGTGAGTATTTTTCCCAGGGACTTGCATGGGTGGGTTCTATTTTTTTCTCCGTTAATTCCCTGCCCTTACAGACCCAGGCTGGCTGCTGTTCAACCTAATCCCCAAATGTGACCCAACAAATTGTTTTCATCATACAGGCTAAGCACGTTGTACCAAGCCAGAGTAAAGAGATCTTTTTTCTTTGTGCCCTTATATGGCTCCTGAAGTCATCATTGATGCAATAAACTAATGGAGCGTGCTCCTCTAATCAACCTCCCCTTCTATAAACACATTTTGTTCCTGCTCTGAGATACTTCTCTGACATTTTTAAACCAGCCCCTTTCCTGGCTCTCTCTTTCTTTTCTTTTTCGGATCATAGTGGGAGGGAATCAGCCAGCTCTGGAGAGCGAAGAGATGGTGGAGATCATGGTAAACTAACATTTGGTAGAACAAGTGGCTTCAAAAAGATCAGCAGTGAAACCAGAGCAGCTGAGGAAGAGCAGGAAGACGTCCGAGGTGTGCTGAAGAGGCGAGTGGAAACTCGGGAACACACAGAGGAGAGCCTGAGGCAGCAGGAAGCTGAGCAACTTGATTTCCGTGACATTCTAGGCAATAAAGTCAGCACCAAAAGTTTTTCTGAGGAGGAACTGAAAGAAATCCCAGCCGAGCAAATGGACTTCCGAGCAAACCTGCAGCGGCAGGTCAAACCCAAGACCTTGTCAGAGGAGGAAAGGAAGGTTCATGCTCCTCAGCAGGTAGACTTTCGCTCTGTGCTGGCCAAGAAAGGCACCCCAAAAACCCCATTGCCAGAGAAGGCACCACCTCCTAAGCCAGCAGTTACAGATTTCAGATCAGTGCTGGGCTCAAAGAAAAAGCCACCTGCAGAGAATGGTAGTGCTAACACCCCAGCACCAAATGCCCGCACCAACTCTGAAGCCCAGAATATGACTCCTAATTCTCAAGCCCCTGTTGCCAAACCAGCAGTGAAAAAAGAAGAGAAGAATGACAGAAACTGTGAACATGGGTGCTCAGTAGTGGATGGCAGAATAATTGGGCAAAAAGCTGAAAATAAAGCACCAGCAAGCAAACCACCAGCAAGCAAAGGAACAGCACCCTCCTTTACAGAGAAGCTTCAGGATGCTCAAGTAGTAGATGGTGAAAAATTGGTCTTACAATGTCGGATTTCCTCTGATCCCCCTGCAGCTGTCACCTGGACTGTCGACAGCAAAACCATCAAATCATCGAAGTCCATTGTCATCTCCCAAGAAGGTAAATTAATCGAATTACAAGCCAGCTGGCTGGCACACTTATATCCAGCTCTTGATTAATAATATTTGGTTCATTAAAGGTAATGCAATACTTTATTTAAGTCTCCTGCCAGTAACTGTTTCCAGATGCATCTTTCTTGTTATTTCAGTGGAGTACACAAGGTACAGTATTGTTTGACATTTCTTGCAGATTCTCCTTTAACAGCCTGCAGATGTAATTTTTATAAAGTTGAACTTCTTGCATTTTTAAATGCTGTTTACATAGCTAATGTTGTTTAAGGAGCTGGTACATGACGTTTATTTAAGCTGAACTTCAAGGATTTAGAACATTGAAAACAGAATAATGTTACTGCTGGTTTACATATCCTAATTTAATTCTTCTGTATGTTTAATATTTCAGGCTTTTTATTGCAGTAACGAACACAGAGGCAAAGAGGGTTTGAGTTATAGAAAGAAACTACTACAACTTCAATTTGTACAATTAAGATCAAAGTTGGGAATTGAGTTACAGTGTATTTAATGCTCCCAATACAGTTGCTTTTGCTGCCTTTACAGACACTGAAATATTTGACCTCCATTGGCCTGATGACTGTTAACTAATTTCAAAACAGTACAGAGTTTAGTAAAAGTCAAATTGAATGATTTCCTCATGTTCAACATTCTGGATAACCAAACCCTACTATACCAGTTTTGTATGAAAGTTACCTTTGTATCTAAAACAAAACATATTTTCCTTGGGACAAAAATAGGGAGGGTAACTAATAATGCAGAAAAACTTCTTTGCTTCATATCTGTTTCATGATTCATCAGTTTCAACTGAGGGCATTATATGTAGAAGGACACTGTCTTGCATGTTGTCCTTCTACAGAAGTTAATGTTCACAGTAAGAATTATAGCTTGAGAAAGGGGTCTGAACTGTTAATTTTGAATATTTTTTCATTTAATCCAGACTATTTTCAGTGTTATTAAATGAGAACCAAATGAATGCACACAATGGTTCACTACAACCAGTGAATCTTTGTGCAGTGTTCCAGGCATTGAAACATGAGTATTCTTTTAAAGTGAATGTAGTCAGAAACAACATGCCTTCCGACAGGGTGTGGAAAAAAAAGGTACCTGAGAACTACATTAAGGGGTTGTCAAAGGAAGTAAATGGAGAGAAGGAACTGGTAGCAGGTGTATTGTGTCTGGCATGAGTCTGAAGTAGCATAAAAAATGTATTTATGCATATATGATGATTTTCACCAGTGGGGACTTTATAGAATAGGGATAATAACTGTCATGTATATGAGAAGAGATTGACCAGTGGAAATGCCATCCTTGTAAAAAGGACTGATAGGATCAGGAAGGTGGGAGACTGCAATTTTATCAGCCTTGTAACTGGAAGCATAATGTCAAGGGTTTTCTTGGAGCTGCTCAGATTAAAAAGAAATTGTGCATCTCCAGGTTTCATGTCTCCAATCAAAGTACATCAAATAGATAGCATCACTCTATGAAAGCTTCTCAGCTATAGTGGAGCCTCCTAAATTCCTGAAGCTTTAGTTTTGTGGTGCTGCAGAAAGTTGTCTTCTTGATGGAAATAATCTGAATAATTGACTGTTACAATCACCCAACTTACATTCCCTTTATAAAATGGTACTTGGAGGTGAAAATCCATTGTATTTGTGTTTACAGTGAAGTGATCCTCATGTACATAAATGCTCTACCACCTACCTGAGTCGGGGATGTGACTTACCCCATCCAGTTTGTCTGGGCTAGGTGACAGTCATAACACCCAGAGCTGGCATTTTGTCAGGATGTCACACTTTAGCAGTGCTTTCCACTAAGGTAAAGAATGAAAGTCACCAAGGGATAAGGAATCCACTGTTTCAGGAAAGCTTGTGCAAGGAGGAAAGAGACTGTCTTTATGTTTGAGTTGTACCTGCATTATTGCACTAGGCATCATGCTTAGGTAGTCAGTATTACCAGTACTTCAAAGTTAAGGTTTCTTTAGCAAGTATTTGCAGAGGATCTTAGAAAGAAATACTACACAGGGAAGTAAACACTACATTTTTCTCCTTTAATGGAAAGAAATGGAATGAAGATTAGACCTTTTTTTTTTTTTTGTTAAACCTTACTACATACCCTCTGGTACACTGAGGGGATGCATTGCATGATGGTCAGCATAGTAGGGTTTTCCTAACAATACCTGCTAGCCTTGGCACTTGAAGAGCAATGTGTTGTTGCTCTCCCACTGAGAGATGCTTTCATGCCAACTGTTAAGTAATTAACTAGGTATGCATTATACTTAGTTTAACTAAGGTTCTAGTTTTCTTAGAGATTGATTTTTCTTTTTCCTTAATTAGGAATACATGAATAGTTCATAGAATCATAAAATAGTTCAGGTTTGAAAGGACTTTCAAAGGTCATCTAGTCCAGCTCCCCTAAAATGATCAGGGACCTCTTCAACCAGATCAGGTTCCCCAGAACCACGTCCAGCCTGGCCTTGAATGTCTCCAGGGATGAGGCAGCCACCACCTCTCTGAGCAACCTGTTCCAGTGTTTCAACACCCTCATTATAAAAGCCTTTTTTCCTCATGTCCAGCCTGAGTCTTCCCTCTTTTAGTTTAAAACTGTACTTCTGGGTTGAAACCATTACCCTTGCCCTGTCACAACAGGCCCTGCTAAAAAGTCTTTTCCCATCTTTCTTATAGGCTCCTTCTGAGAACTGAAAGGTCACAATAAGGTCTCCCCAGAGTCTTCTCAAGGCTGAAAATCCCCAACTCTCTCAGCCTTTCCTCACAAGAGAGGGTTTCCAGCCCTCTGATCATTTCTGTGGCCCTTCTCTGGGCCCTCTCCAGCAGGTCCATATCTGTGATGTACTGAGGACTCCAAAGGTGGACACAGTACTCTAGGTGGGATCTCATCAGAGCAGAGTAGAGGGGCAGAATCAGCCTATCTTGAACTGCTGGCCATGTTTCTTTGGATGCAGCCATGATACAACTGACTTTCTGGGATGCAAACACACATTGTCTGCTTATCCACCAGTACTCCCAAGTCTTTCTCCTCTGGTATTCTCAATCCCTTCATCACCCAGCCTTTACTGATACTGGGGATTGCCCCTACCCAGGTGCAGGACCCTGCACTTGGCCCCATTGAACAACATCAGGTTCACATAGGTCCACCTCTCAAGTTGAAGTAACCAAGGGAGGAAAAGGAATAATTACAGCTACAGACTAGAACTGAGAAATAACAAATTCAGGATGAATATCAGGAAATGCTGTTCAGTAGAGAAACTGTATGGATTAGTCTCATAGAAACTTTTTGGAGGAGCTTTAAACATAGAGAACATTAAAACTAGATGCAGTACTCAGCAGCCCAATGCCAAAATCCCAGATTCTATCTTTTGCACCAAATACTGAAAAGACAGGTTCATCATGCCACAGGTGTCACATCCTTCAGTAGCAGTGCTTTTGTCCAACCTTAGAGCAGTATTTAATGGGCTCTGCAGATAATCCCCTAGAGTCATCCTCAGCTAAAAGAAGGTTGATTCTGTGGGGAAGGGAGGGAATTCACAGCAAAGGGACTGAGCTCACAGTTACAGGTTTAGATCTTGCAAAGTTACCTTTTATTTCTTTAGTATGACCTTGCTCCTCTTGTGTTCAACAGCAAAATCCACTATGAAAGTGTATAGACTGGGTCTGTTTATAGCTATTTCACCAACTGTTTTTGTGCCACTGTGATGTTCGTTGGTGACCACTAATTCTCACTTAAGGAAAATTTTCCAGATGTATCTCACAGAACAATGACTTACTTGTTCTTAGTGAGCTGGATACTAGGAAATCCTCTATCTAGGGTGAATCATGTCTATCTGCTTCATATACTACAAGCCCATCTTAATGTGGGCTACTGGCCCACAAACTGTTCAATGAAAGTAATACATGAATCTGCAGAATGCCAGGTACCTGTCTTTTGGAAATTTAATTCAACCTCTCTGTCATTGCCAGAAAGCAAAAGGAGATAGCAGTTTGCTGATCTCCTGGTGCCACATGTATTGTGAAGGTAAATACATAAAATCTGGTTTGGGAACATGCCCACCTGATAAAACAAGTGGCATATTTCGCCAAGAAGGGCAGGCTTAAAAGGATACTTGTGTGTAAGAAGTTCACAGGGTAGGCAAAATGACTAGTGCTTTTATGTAGTCACCCACTGAAAGTAACTTTCCCTGGCATATTTGTCCTAGCTTATAGTAAGGCCCTTTACCTGTTAGAAACAACTCTATGCACGTGTCTCCTCTGTTTCTGAAGGAGCTAACACTACATTAGTGTGCAACAGAAGGATGGCTGTTAGCTCCACTTTGGTACCATCAGAGAAGCCTGAATTCAAACACCAGGATCAGAATAACTACTGATTGGTGTGGTCTTTGGCAAACGGAAAATTAATTCCTGCTCCAAAAAAGACCTTAATCTTCAGGCATATTCATGCAGTATTTGTGCTGTATTCTAGTACTTAATCTAGAGCTTGCAATATATTATTTTATTCCAGGGTTAAGTTTAAATTAGCAATTAGAAGGCAGAATCTGGGCAGCATTATACTGAATGCGACAATCACAACATAGCTAAGATCAGTCTCATTCCTTCCATTTTACATTTCAACTATTAATACAGGTTTGTTTCCCTTTGAAATATCAGTCTTTTAATAATTCCCCAAATAGTATCCTGTCAGTTGATGGCATGAGTGATTTGTTCTTAAAGTATCATTTTTATGACAAAGTGATCTCTAACACCATTTTTCTTTTATGAACATGTCTGATCTCGTAGGTGTTTATTAATGTTTTGATTTTGTATTTTTCTTCTTTTAAGCACTTGTCAGAGCATGGTTATCTACATTCCTCAGACTGATATTAATGTGGGTTTTGCCTGTGAAATCTCAAAATAAACATTAACTGTACAGAAAAAGACAAAAGAAGGTACTCACAAAGTAGAGCATTATGCATTTATACAGGCAGGTGAGATGGTGTAT